AAGAGCCTCCATAGCGCTTTGAAGCATTACGAAGCAAACCTGACAGCACAAAAAGTCAATTTTGAATAAGCAGTGTTTCTATAGCGCTTCTACGAGCCAGTCTTTTGCCACAACCTCTTAGGGCAAGACTGAGTCGTGAACTGGGGAAAGTGATAGTTGACAAGGGGTTGGCAAAGATTATGGACTCAATCTCTGGGAAGAAAGGCATGTGTCAACCCATCCGTGGATTCTCCAATCATCGTGCTGGAGAAGCAGCTGAAATCTAGTTAGATGCTAAATGGAAGGTTAAAGCCGCAGATACAGATAGTCCTTGTATAACCATTTGTTCAGCCTCCATTCAAAGTTACAACAGCACTGAAAAAAGTGACTCATGACTGCTGCAGCATCTCCATGGACATGTGATCAGAATTCTGGCATTTGGCAACCAGCATGTATTTATGATGGATGCAGCATCCTGGGGTCACATGCTAATTTCTCTATCTATGATTGTGGTTAATGCGGGTAAAATTATTTGGAACATAAGTTGCTCTGCTCCTTCCAAACTAAATGATGGTTAATAAAGTCCCTGAATAGTTAAGGCAGGCAGTCCTTTTGGCACCAAGCATGGAGAAATAATATAATATAATATAATATAATATAATATAATATAATATAATATAATATAATATAATATAATATAATATAATATAATATAATATAATATAATATAATAAAATATATAATAAATATAATATAACGTGTGTGTGTGTGTGTGTGTGTGTGTGTGTGTGTGTGTGTGTGTGCAGATCTTGCATGTTCGGGTCTTTTCCCATGTAAGATTGAGAGCATCTTGGCGACATTTCAACGAGATCCCACTCGCCACCTTCAGGCTGGTGCTTTTGGCTTCATGCTTGTGCGAGGAAAGCATGATTGGAGCTGCCGTCTCTCTATAGATACTGGTGGGGAGGTGTGGTGTGCTGGCTCTGTTGTAAGCGGGCTGGTTGGCTGTGTTGTTATTTCTTGATTGGTTGATGGAGTTGGTGTTTGCAGATTGGCTGGCTTTTTTGTAAGAACCTGTGTTGCTGAGATTTTTAGCCCCTTAGGGGCCTCTGGCAGAATGAAGCTGATCGTGGAAAGCAGAGCCACGCTTTCCCTCAACTGTATTGCCATGATGCCAAACTAGAAATCCATAAACATAACTTTTCAAACCAGTAATTCCCCACTACCATCAAAGAAGAACATTATTCTGTGTGCAATATGGGTGTAATAAACCTTTATCATTTCACTCCAGAGAAAGGCTCAAAAACAGGAAAACCTGCTGCAGACATTCTGGTGTATTTCTTAAAGAAAAAAGCCGTTGACAAAAGCTTGAAGCCCATTGGAGGAGACTCTACAAATATTAATACTGGCTGTGAAGGTGGTGTCATGCGCTGGGTAGGGGTCATGCCAGAACATCCACTCTGCTGGAGCTGATTGATGGGTCGGAAGGTACATATGACTCACCTTTGATGTGCAACCTGACTACAGCAAAAATAATGAAGTTCATTGACTAACCAATGCAAGAACCACAATGGCCCTGTCATGTCCAATCAATAAAGAGATGTGTGAAATGGGTCACAGAAGCAGCAATTATTTGTTTCATTGGCAGACAAAAAAAAGGGATCGCGGTATACATTAAAGAAAAAATAAAAGCAACACAAATTTAACTGATGATAGTGGTAGAATACTAATGATAAAAATTAAAATTTAACCAATGGTTTTTTTACCAGTAACAATTTATTCTCCAAATGAAAATTAAAAAGAATTTTATAG